ATGCATATCAACAGACCCCATTCACACTCATACATACATTCATACCCACATAAGAGACTTACCCACTTTCATATACTTCCTAATACATATACACAAAGTCTCATACATGCACATACATACACATAACTCACACACAAACATATACAGACGCATTTACAAAAGACAGACAGAAAGACGAACTAAATAAAATATCAAGACTCAAACAAGAATAAGACATATGGTAGAGAAAACAAAAGTCATAGAATTTTGTTTGACAAATAAATGTTAATTTGAGCAGCAAATGTCACATAATGTGAGACACAAGTACCCAGTCTCTACTGGAGGTTACCTAAAGTTCGCTAGTCAGTCAACAGTGAGGGTAGGCTGGAAAGAATCTCCGAAGACTCTCATTACCATTACTGCACATGGTGTTTGTCCACCTCCTGATGCTATCCTCCCACTTGTATCGTTACCTGACTCTTGCTCACTTGTTGCTCCAGTATGATTGCATAGGCATGTTTTATATGTTAATATCAAAGACTATACAAATGTTTTTTTCATTGAATGTAGCTGACAAATTTGGCTTGCCTTGATTTTATATACGACAGCAACATGTTTTGTTTTTTTCCAGTCTTTCCGGATCCCGTGTAATTGATTGTTTGTTTTCCGTCAGACACGACCTATTTTCTCTATGTATCCATATTTCCGGAGACATTTCAATTTTGTAATTGCTTGTTATTGTCAAGCTGTCGGCACGACATCGTATGTTTCAGCAGAGAAGAAGTAGAACAGAACAGGAGCATCAACAGAAGGAGCCTACCGATGCTCAGTAGGGGCTTCAATATGAACAATGGTTTCGGTCCATCTACCTCCTAGATAATCTCGAGGGGTGGGGGGGGGCAACACGGGTCATAGGCGCAGGGTTATGGTGATTGCAGCAGGTACTGAGGTTACGGTAATTACAACAAGTACTGGGGTTATGGTGATTACAACAGATACTGAGGTTATGGTGATTGCAACAGGTAGTGAGGTTATGGTAATTACAACAAGTACTGGGTTATGGTGATTGCAACATGTACTAAGGTTATGGTGATTTCAACAAGTACTGGGGGTTATGGTGATTGCAACAGGTACTAAGGTTATGGTGATTTCAACAAGTACTGGGGTTATGGTGATTACAACAAGTACTGAGGTTATTCTGATTATAACAGGTACTGGGGTTATGGTAATTACAACAAGTAATAGGGTTATGGTGATTGCAACAGGTACTAAGGTTATGGTGATTACAACAAGTAATAGGGTTATGGTGATTGCAACAAGTACTGGGGTTATGGTGATTACAACAGATACTGGGGTTATGGTGATTGCAACAAGTACTGGGGTTATGGTGATTACAACAAGTACTGGGGTTATAGTGATTACAACAGGTACTGGGGTTATGGTGATTACAACAGGTACTGGGGTTATGGTGATTGCAACAGGTACTGGGGTTATGGTGATTACAACAAGTACTAGGGTTATGGTGATTACAACAAGTACTGGGGTTATGGTGATTACAACAAGTACTGAGGTTATGGTGATTACAACAAGTACTGAGGTTATGGTGATTACAACAAGTACTGGGGTTATGGTGATTACAACAAGTACTGGGGTTATGGTGATTGCAACAAGTACTGGGGTTATGGTGATTGCAACAAGTAATAGGGTTATGGTGATTGCAACAAGTACTGGGGTTATGGTGATTACAACAGGTACTGGGGTTATGGTGATAACAACAGGTACTGGGGTTATGGTGATTACAACATGTACTAAGGTTATGGTGATTACAACAAGTACTGGGGTTATGGTGATTACAACAAGTACAGGGGTTATGGTGATTACAACAAGTACTGAGGTTATGGTGATTACAACAGGTACTGAGGTTATGGTGATTACAACAAGTACTGAGGTTACGGTGATTACAACAAATACTGAGGTTATGGTGATTACAACAGGTACTGAGGTTACGGTGATTACAACAAGTACTGAGGTTATGGTGATTACAACAGGTACTGAGGTTATGGTGATTACAACAAGTACTGAGGTTATGGTGATTACAACAAGTACTGGGGTTACGGTGATTACAACAGGTACTGAGGTTATGGTGATTACAACAAGTACTGAGGTTATGGTGATTACAACAGGTACTGAGGTTATGGTGATTACAACAAGTACTGAGGTTATGGTGATTACAACAGGTACTGAGGTTATGGTGATTACAACAGGTACTGAGGTTACGGTGATTGCAACAGGTACTGAGTTTATGGTGATTACAACAAGTACTGAGGTTATGGTGATTACAACAAGTACTGAGGTTATTGTGATTTTAACAGGTAATGGGGTTATGGTGATCACAACAGGTACTGAGGTTATGGTGATTACAAGTACTGAGGTTATGGTGATTACAACAGGTAATGGGGTTATGGTGATTGCAACAAGTACTGAGGTTATGGTGATTGCGGAAGGTACTGTGTTATGTTGACTGCAATAGGTACTGGGGTTATAGTGACTGCAACAAGTACTGAGATTATGGTGATTACAACAGGTACTGCAACAGGTACTGGGGTTATGGTTGCTGTAACGGGAACTGGGGCTATGGCTTCGGCAACAGGTACTGTGGTTATGGTGATATATGGCGCTATGTTAGCAAATTAAGCGCCTACCTGTACGACTATACAAATAAACGGTTGCTTAACCGAAAACATACGTTTGTCGGGTAGATTTCGACAGAGTATACGACATTTGACAATTGCTTTTTTTTATGTGCTATTTATCTTTCTAGATCTCACAAGTCAGTCACACTTAGCTGGGCCTGGCTATGTTATAAAAAGCTTTGAACACACCATCACCTGGATTTCGAAGCTGGGGATTTAAAGCACGGCGTCGACCACTTCCATATTTGTAAAACTTTATATTGCCAGAAAGCCTATATCCAAGCCTTGAGCTCAAATGGATTTCAATGACAATGAACCTGTGACCACATACACATGGCGTCACGAACTGGAAAGAAAAGGCCAGCCAGAGAAATGGTGGACACGGGTGATTTCTACAGTAATGCCTAGGGCTCAAATTGCTTGAGAAATAGAAGGTCTAAACCTCATTCCTTCTAAATCTTTATAACGTTTACTATGTCAGGAGTCCATGCACGCAGAAATTCTGACTGCAGGACTTTGTGTCCATTGTTGTCCTGGTGGGCTCACAGTAAGCTCTGCTGGACCCGTGTATCGATCCGATCATCACCAGAATCTGCATGTTGACTTCACCGTCAGTTTCATTCATCAATTAGCCTAGACCACATCATTTTCGGGCAGGGAAATAGATTCTTCGCTGACGTCACCTTCAGATTTGTCTGAACTGGATTCACCACTTCTCCTTGAGTCTGTCTTCGTAGCCAGCGAACTGGTAGGGAATGTAGAAAATGCCAAACTTGGCTCGCAATTATGATTTTCACAGCTTTAAAATACACCTACACACACACAGACACATACATAACCTATTGCTATGTGAAAGATTAATGTTATGAAACAACAGCAACAGGTATTGGCAGTCACACATGTTATGAAACAATGGCAACACGTATCGGCAGTCACATGTTATGAAACAACAGCAACACGTATCGGCAGTCACATGTTATGAAACAACAGCAACACGTATCGGCAGTCACATGTTATGAAACAATGGCAACACGTATCGGCAGTCACATGTTATGAAACAACGGCAACACGTACTGACAGTCACATGTTATGAAACAACGGCAACACGTATCGGCAGTCACATGTTATGAAACAACAGCAACACGTACTGACAGTCACATATTATGAAACAACAGCAACACGTACTGACAGTCACATATTATGAAACAACAGCAACACGTACTGACAGTCACATGCTATGAAACAACAGCAACACGTAGTGACAGTCACATGCTATGAAACAACAGCAACACGTACTGACAGTCACATGTTATGAAACAACAGCAACACGTACTGACAGTCACATGCTATGAAACAACAGCAACACGTACTGACAGTCACATGTTATGAAACAACAGCAACACGTAGTGACAGTCACATGCTATGAAACAACAGCAACACGTACTGACAGTCACATGTTATGAAACAACAGCAACACGTACTGACAGTCACATGCTATGAAACAACAGCAACACGTACTGACAGTCACATGTTATGAAACAACAGCAACACGTACTGACAGTCACATGTTATGAAACAACAGCAACACGTATTGGCAGTCACATGTTATGAAACAACGACAACACGTACTGACAGTCACATGTTATGAAACAATGGCAACACGTATTGGCAGTCACATGTTATGAAACAACGGCAACACGTACTGACAGTCACATGTAATGAAACAACAGCTACACGTACTGACAGTGACATGTTATGAAACAACAGCAACACGTACTGACAGTCACATGTTATGAAACAAGAGCAACACGTACTGACAGTCACATGTTATGAAACAACGGCAACACGTACTGACAGTGACATGTTATGAAACAACAGCAACACGTACTGACAGTGACATGTTATGAAACAACAGCAACACGTACTGACAATCACATGTTATGAAACAACAGCAACACGTACTGACAGTCACATGTTATGAAACAACGGCAACACGTATTGGCAGTCACATGTTATGAAACAATGGCAACACGTACTTACAGTCACATGTTATGAAACAACAGCAACACGTACTGACAGTCACATGTTATGAAACAACGGCAACAAGTACTGACAGTGACATGTTTGAAACAACAGCAACACGCACTGACAGTGACATGTTATGAAACAACAGCAACACGTACTGACAGTCACATGTTATGAAACAACGGCAACACTATTGGCAGTCACATATTATGAAACAACAGCAACACGTACTGACAGTCACATGTTATGAAACAACAGCAACACGTACTGACAGTCACATGTTATGAAACAACAGCAACACGTATTGGCAGTCACATGTTATGAAACAACGACAACACGCACTGACAGTCACATGTTATGAAACAATGGCAACACGTATTGGCAGTCACATGTTATGAAACAACGGCAACACGTACTGACAGTCACATGTAATGAAACAACAGCAACACGTACTGACAGTGACATGTTATGAAACAACAGCAACACGTACTGACAGTCACATGTTATGAAACAAGAGCAACACGTACTGACAGTCACATGTTATGAAACAACGGCAACACGTACTGACAGTGACATGTTATGAAACAACAGCAACACGTACTGACAGTGACATGTTATGAAACAACAGCAACACGTACTGACAGTCACATGTTATGAAACAACAGCAACACGTACTGACAGTCACATGTTATGAAACAACGGCAACACGTATTGGCAGTCACATGTTATGAAACAATGGCAACACGTACTTACAGTCACATGTTATGAAACAACAGCAACACGTACTGACAGTCACATGTTATGAAACAACGGCAACAAGTACTGACAGTGACATGTTTGAAACAACAGCAACACGCACTGACAGTGACATGTTATGAAACAACAGCAACACGTACTGACAGTCACATGTTATGAAACAACGGCAACACTATTGGCAGTCACATATTATGAAACAACGGCAACACGTACTGACAGTCACATGTTATGAAACAACGGCAACACGTACTGACAGTCACATGTTATAAAATAACGGCAACACGTACTGACAGTCACATGTTTTAAAACAACAGCAACACTATTGGCAGTCACATGTTATGAAACAAAGGGTTAGCATACGGGTCCCGTGGTAAAACATATAGAGAACATACTGACAATGGAATTTGTGTGTTTCAGTTTAAAACGCTCAACTGTGTAGGTGTGCCCACCTGCTCATTTAAATACTGAATGCAGACACTCATAGGAATATGAACTTAACAATTACAAAGGCCAAAAGTAAGTATCGCTTCTCAAAAACTGAAAAACTTTGGCCGATGTAATGGTCCGAGGAAAGCAGTAATAAAGGCAGAGGTCCCTAGCAGCAGAGGCAGGGGCTGATTAGGACGACAGTGGATAGAAATTTAAATGCCTCTTTTACCCAACACCACCCCCCTTCCAAACCACTCTCTTTCTTTGTCGGCCTCATATGTTCTCATATAGTACGAACTAATTGTTAGCTGATGATTCTAATATGGTACGATCTAGTTGTTGGCTAATAATTCTCATGTAGTACGATCTAGTTGTTGGCTAATAATTCTCATGTAGTACAATCTATCTGTTGGCTGATGATTCTCATATAGTACGATCTAGCTATTGGCTGATGATTCTCATATAGTACGATCTAGTTGTTGGCTGATGATTATCATATAGTACGATCTAGTTGTTGGCTGATGATAATCATATAGTACGATTCAGTTGGCTAATGATTCTCATATAGTACGATCTAGTTGTTGGCTGATGATTCTCATATAGTACAATCTAGTTGTTGGCTGATGATTCTCATATAGTACGATCTAGTTATTGGCTGAAGATTCTCATATAGTACGATCTAGTTGTTGGCTGAAGATTCTCATATAGTACGATCTAGATGTTGGCTGAAGATTCTCATATAGTACGATCTAGCTGTTGGCTGATGATTCTCATATAGTACGATCTAGTTGTTGGCTGATGATTCTCATATAGCACGATCTAGTTGTTGGCTGATGATTCTCATATAGTACGATCTAGTTGTTGGCTGAAAATTCTCATAAAGTACGATCTAGTTGTTGGCTGATGATTCTCATATAGTACAATCTAGTTGTTGGCTGATGATTCTCATATAGTACGATCTAGTTATTGGCTGAAGATTCTCATATAGTACGATCTAGTTGTTGGCTGAAGATTCTCATATAGTACGATATAGCTGTTGGCTGATGATTCTCATATAGTACGATCTAGTTGGCTGATGATTCTCATATAGTACGATCTAGTTGTTGGCTGAAGATTCTCATATAGTACGATCTAGTTGTTGGCTGAAGATTCTCATATAGTACGATCCAGTTGTTGGCTGAAGATTCTCATATAGTACGATCTAGTTGTTGGCTGAAGATTCTCATATAGTACGATATAGCTGTTGGCTGATGATTCTCATATAGTACGATCTAGTTGGCTGATGATTCTCATATAGTACGATCCAGTTGTTGGCTGAAGATTCTCATATAGTACGATCTAGTTGTTGGCTGAAGATTCTCATATAGTACGATATAGCTGTTGGCTGAAGATTCTCATATAGTACGATCTAGTTGTTAGCTGATGATTATCATATAGTACGATCTAGTTGTTGGCTGAAGATTCTCATATAGCACGATCTAGCTTTTGGCTGATGATTCTAATATAGTACGATCTAGCTATTGGCTGATGATTCTCATATAGTACGATCCAACTGTTGGCTGATGATTCACATATAGTAAGATCTTTTTATTGGCTTATGATAGTCATATAGTACGAT